CAGTACGTTCCTACCCGGATCACGTGATCTCGAAGGGAGGTTACGTGAATGTTGTGGTTCTACGTTTATTCATAGCTATCATGCCTAAAATGCCAGTCAACGCTTAATTTACTTTTGCTACCTCTTTTGTGTCCCTGTTACTTTAACTATCATAAATACTCGGCATGGCCCACTTACGAGATTATGGAGACCGACGGATTCGGGCTCTGTATCCTGAGCGCAATAGTCACGTCGGAGGACTAAAACGACACGACAATAGGTACTTTTGATCGTTCGTTGTCATGGGGAGGTACAATACATATGCACCACTAGTCACTTTGAGGTTGGGACTATTTAGGGACATTCGGAATGATATAAAGCTGCGGGAATGAGAATCATACAGGCACAACAATACTGCGACATTACAGGGAGGTACACACACAAAGTGCGTACACTTCATACAAAAAATACTCGGCGTTCCGTAGTAATGACCTCATCCCTGCTATTCATATCTTCTCTACTTTTCCGGTTAGGTCGCAAAATTATCTATGCTTATACACTCGCTTACACGTACGTTTATCCATACATCCATCAGCGCACATACACGTAGGCCATTCATGCCGAATACACTTATCACGATGTCATCTGTCAACTTTGGCAACTTTGATACCATTTCACCCATCCAAAATATGGTACCCAGTTAAATGGGTTGCGTGGTTAATTATGAGTATTTAATTTACCACTTTAACATTTTTTACAAGTTTCCTTTGGAAAGTCTAGTTTAATTTCTACTTCCTTTCAACCTGCTTGGCCTCTTGCCTTTCATTAAATTTCGTTGTCACACTACATTGTTCAGTCCAATAAATGTGCACTTATTCATGAATTATTGTAAAGCTGCCAGTAGGTTAAATTCACCATTCGCGATTTCGCATTGTTGGGTGTATAATATGGATGATAGTTTCAGTGGTTTTAAATGCTCGATACAAACACGTTTAATTGCATTTTATCAAAATCAAGCAGTACATGGGTTGTGGAAGTTGAAGCAACCAACCTCTAGGTTGCTATGCCTCACATCGGTGCCGCCAACATTCACATAAATCATGACTCCCCCTTTGCTAAGTTTCTGTCCAAAGTGAAAAATTAAAAGGGTGATATAAGAAAAGCGATGATTTCTCTACAACTATTTACCCACTTTTAATAAAAATGCATTAGTATATTTCCCAAGTGGTCGGTCTTTGTTACCGGAGATAAATCTATTACCATTTCTTTAAAACCAATGCAGTAGTTTATGTATGTTGCCTTACATGCAAAGTAATATTTTGCGGTTCATGGAATCGTCCCTGTTACTTTAACTATCATAAATACTCGGCATGGCCCACTTACGAGATTATGGAGACCGACGGATTCGGGCTCTGTATCCTGAGCGCAATAGTCACGTCGGAGGACTAAAACGACACGACAATAGGTACTTTTGATCGTTCGTTGTCATGGGGAGGTACAATACATATGCACCACTAGTCACTTTGAGGTTGGGACTATTTAGGGACATTCGGAATGATATAAAGCTGCGGGAATGAGAATCATACAGGCACAACAATACTGCGACATTACAGGGAGGTACACACACAAAGTGCGTACACTTCATACAAAAAATACTCGGCGTTCCGTAGTAATGACCTCATCCCTGCTATTCATATCTTCTCTACTTTTCCGGTTAGGTCGCAAAATTATCTATGCTTATACACTCGCTTACACGTACGTTTATCCATACATCCATCAGCGCACATACACGTAGGCCATTCATGCCGAATACACTTATCACGATGTCATCTGTCAACTTTGGCAACTTTGATACCATTTCACCCATCCAAAATATGGTACCCAGTTAAATGGGTTGCGTGGTTAATTATGAGTATTTAATTTACCACTTTAACATTTTTTACAAGTTTCCTTTGGAAAGTCTAGTTTAATTTCTACTTCCTTTCAACCTGCTTGGCCTCTTGCCTTTCATTAAATTTCGTTGTCACACTACATTGTTCAGTCCAATAAATGTGCACTTATTCATGAATTATTGTAAAGCTGCCAGTAGGTTAAATTCACCATTCGCGATTTCGCATTGTTGGGTGTATAATATGGATGATAGTTTCAGTGGTTTTAAATGCTCGATACAAACACGTTTAATTGCATTTTATCAAAATCAAGCAGTACATGGGTTGTGGAAGTTGAAGCAACCAACCTCTAGGTTGCTATGCCTCACATCGGTGCCGCCAACATTCACATAAATCATGACTCCCCCTTTGCTAAGTTTCTGTCCAAAGTGAAAAATTAAAAGGGTGATATAAGAAAAGCGATGATTTCTCTACAACTATTTACCCACTTTTAATAAAAATGCATTAGTATATTTCCCAAGTGGTCGGTCTTTGTTACCGGAGATAAATCTATTACCATTTCTTTAAAACCAATGCAGTAGTTTATGTATGTTGCCTTACATGCAAAGTAATATTTTGCGGTTCATGGAATC